GGCATCTGTCAGACCATGGACTCAAAAGAGACTGATTTTCTTGGGTGGTTTCTAAGGAGGTGCAGAGGGTGTGTTCCGAGAACCTTTGGAATGAAGAGCTGTCATGGCTGGAGGCCTCCAGGAGGGGGCAGAGGGCTGAGTGGGAGGAAAGGACTGTCTGCTACACCTCCACAGCACTCAGCCCATCTTGGGGTGCTGTACCGGCAGCTGGCCCATCGCATGCTGGACATTCCTCAGTTGCTTCTAAGGCTCCTTTGTCACCATGATTAGCATGGTCTATCATACCTGAAGCCTGGCCTCCCAGACTCATAAAATATAATTCTTCCAAAGGGGTACAGTGATCAGAGAATAGTGAAGAAGCAAATTCAAGAAGTCTGGAGAAGGAAAATCTTGGCAGGCATCTTGGAGTTACTTCATATTTAACCTGCAAACAGTTCCTGAGTCCCTCGTTTTGGTAAACCTTGGTAATTTTCCTTAAGAAGGGCAACAGCTCTCCTACCTTATTTCCTTAAGATAGCCATTATTTCAACCAAGCGTGTCTTGGACTTTAACCTGCAAATAGGACGCAAACTTTGAAGTCAGAATTTTTTTTCCCCCAGCCATGGGTTGATCCCAGCTCAACTATCTAGAAATGAGTTGGCATTCATATATACTTATGGAGCCACTTGCTGTCGCCTCACATGGAAAGAGCCTGCCTCTGGTTGTTGGCATGTCGGCTGCACAGAACTCCATGGCCACAGACTCCAGGGCTTTAGAAGCAGCCAATCAGGATTTGCCTCCAGCTTCACGTGATCCTGGCCCGCTCTGCCGCCTCAAGTTCCTCTCATCCGGGAAATGGCAAAACCAGCAGAGTCGCTGAAGGATGGGATCTTGTCCTGAGAATGTTGTTAGGTGATGTGGGGGCTGTCTGCACATCCAAGCATGTGATCACACAAGCCAAGTTGGCTACAGTATCACTAGGCCATATGACCTGCCACATAGCACACGGCCATGTAAGAATGTCACAGACAGGGCCTTGTGTGTGTATCTGCATTAGGGGAAGCTGGATAGTGAAAATAGAATGAAACAGGGATGCTTGGATTAATTTTTTCTTTTCTTTATATTTATTTATTTATTTTTGCGGTACTGGGGATTGAACTCAGGACCCTGTGCTTGCCAGGCAGGCGCTTATTCTGTTGAGTTTTCTCCCCAGCCCCTTGGATTAATTTGTTCTGTTGTAAGAAACAGAGAAGGGAGAAGAGACAGAAGGAAGCTGGGAAAAGAGAAGCATAAGGGAAAGTAGATGGGTAAATGAATAAGTATACTACTGGTCGCAGGTCTTGGCTATGTCATTTAACCTTTCTGAGGCTCCATGATTTGATCTAGCAAACAAAGATAATAGCAACCTCATTTAGTAGTGAGGATTTAAAAAAACAATATTTTGCTGGCTATGGCAGTAATCCCAGATCTTCTCTGAGAAGGTGAGGCAAAGGATGGGAAGTTACAGGCCAGTCTGGGCAAGGTACTGACTTACCAAGACCCTGTGTCAAAATGGAAATATGAAAGAGCTGGGAATATAGCTCAGTAGAAAAAGAAGACGACAAAGGCACCTTATCTGCCAGCGCCCCTGTCTAACTGGCACTTAACTTTAAGGTGATGGGCCTTGTATCGGTTTAAAAGCATCAATAAATGAATGGTGCTATTCATAGGATTAGACCTCATCTTCCCATGAATGGTGTTTCTAACCTGCACATTAAGAACCGTGGGCCAGGTCTGTGCTGGGGAACCAGGGCAGCTTCTGGGGCTCGTGCTATTCACAGACCAAGCACTAAGCAAAGCCAGTGTGGTCACTGCTCTGGCTGGGGCTCTAGAGTGAGTGTTTACAGCCATCAGAAACCGAAACTAAGTCAGAGGCAAAAGTGAACTGTGCTGCTCTGATTGCCTTGCTGTGGGAAAGCAGAGGCCAGGGAAGAGAAACAGGTCACTGGGCCACAGTGGTGCAGCCAGGCCCTGAGTCCTGCTGGGTTCTGGGGCCGGCGGGAGGGGGGGGTCCCCATAGATGCAGCTCGTCTCTCATTCGGCAAAACTCAAGATGACTCATGTTTCATTTTCCGGGCAATCTAGACAGGGCCGCTCTCCCAGAGGCCACACTCTCTGGCAGGACTCTCTGACAGGGACGTTCTGACTTTTTAGAGAAAGGCCAAAGTCAACATCAGAAAACCCTTCTTTTGGTCTGCAATAATAGCAGCTGTTTATCAGTCATCGCTTGGTGCCCAGGGCTGTACTTGGTGCTTTCTGCCCTTTTCTTGCTTCTCACTGACCTGGGGAGCAGGTGTTCATTCCCATTTCAGAGATGAGAACAGACTCAGACTACATAGGCACACGGGAGCGGCTAACTGCAGCCGAGCTCCCTCTGCCTTGGCCCTTCTGCCCTTCCCAGCTCTGCACTCAGCGACTTCATACGGGTGGCTAAAAGTTGGTCGCTGGTTCACGACGTTATTGAGATCAGCGAGCAGTACGAATCCAGGCCCTCCTCTTATTTCTTCTTCCTCTCCATCACTGCCACCACGACCACCACCACAGGATGTCTGCTTATTAAATATGTACCAGCTACTAGGTGGGCAGAGCCAGGATTCAGACGTACGTCTCTCATCCTGAAGCTCGTATTCTTTCCAGTTCATGCCCTTGAAAATGGGGTTAGCCTGTAGCCACAAGACATGTGCTCCTGTCTCTCTTCCTGGGTCCCATAGAGGTTGCTCTGTCAGATCCAACTATTATTAGTAAACATATGTGCATCTTTTCCTTGTCTGTGCTGGGCTGAAGATCCCATGACAAGGGCTGAGTAAGCTGGAGACAGGATTTATGAGGTAATAATAATGTGCTCTCCTCAATGGGACTTCTCATCCTCAAAGCATTTTATAGCCATTTACTAATTAGTCCAGGGCTGCGCTTTGTGCAGGTACAATGCCTGATGACAGGAGAAACCAGTGAGGAGGGTTTAAATATGAGCCAGTGACCCTTGCCCACTTCCCCAGTGCTACTTGCTTCTGTTGCTGAAGATAAAATCTCAGACTCTGGTGTTTGAGTCCCCAGTATCTGAAATATAGAGTAGTTGTTCTCACTTTCTGTTGGGTAGTTTCCCCTGAGAGAATCAGGCCAGCTCAGTTGGGTAAGGGAGTTGAAAGCCTTAAAACAAAAACCATAGAACCTCTGTCCCCACAAACTCATGCATAGTATATCAGCTTTCATTGGCCAGGGAGAGTATGTCTTGAAGGGTGCCCAGAAAAATCATAGATGTACGTTAAGTGTGGCTCTGGACGGGGGGCCAGGCGCCTGGGTCAGTTCTGACACCGGTACTGCCAAGCTGCTGACTTCGGGTGCTTCAATCCCTCCTACCCTGTTTCCTTCTGTGGGACAAGAAGGATCCTACTCACTCACTTACATCACAGTTCTGCTGTAAACCACACTTGTTGACCTATGCCCTAACACACAAACACACACACACACACACACACACACACACACACACACACACACAAAACTGAACCCACTGAGCTACATCTAAAGCCCTTTCTCATTTTTATTTTGAGATGTGGGGTGGGGAGCCTTGGAAGTTGTTGAGTTGCCCAGGCTGGCTAACTTTGATCCTCCTGCCTCAGCCTCCCAAAGTGGTGAGATTACAGGTGTACATCATCACGCCCAGCTTGTGCTGGCCGTTAGCTGTACTTGCTGCACTGAGGTATCAGGTTGTCACTAATTATCTGGTCAGCCTGAGCACGTGTGGATCCGGAGATGCTGGGAGGAGCAGGAGGGTGACAGCTGTAGATCATACTGCCTACTATGGCTGCTGCTGCTGAATGGCCACTGGAAATGTGACTTTACCCACTCTATGCTGCCAGCCACTCTCTGCTACAACATAACTGGGACACCTAACAGACCCAAAGCAAGCTCTTCATTTGGTGGGAAGCACAGCCGCACATGCACACGTGGTTGGTGCCAGGGCAATCCCAAGGATCATGCCATGGGGTCTTAGGAGGAGGAGGAGGAGGAGGAGGAGGAGGAGGACTAGAGCTCGTACACAGCTGCCCTGAGTGAAAAGCCTAGATAGTTCAGTTTCATGTGTCCACACCCCTGCCCTGGCATGGACCAGCAGCATAACCTCAAGCCAGCCCCCTCCTCTCCCTAATACAAGAGGCAAACTGGACCAGATGGTAACCCCCGCTCCTCAGAATACCCCAGGGAGTGTCGAGGAAGTCCTGCCCTAGTCCCAAGTTCCCACCTGCAGAATCAGACTCCTATGGACTGGGGTGCGTAAACCTCCCCATCTGGCTGTTGGGAAGCAGCTATGACCCTTGGAACCAGCTGACCATGCGGGGGTCCTTCTGACCTGACCCTGCCCGGCTGGCTGTGCACAGGAAGATGTTCCTGAGCTGCTATGAGTTTTATGAGCATTACGGCCTCTATTTTCCCCTCTGTACACTGACTGGAAACAAGTCGGCTTCTGGCTCTCTTCAGGTCTGGTAGTCTACACACATAGGAGCTTGCTCGGTCGCTTGCTCAGCAGCCAGCCCCTCCAGACACCACATACACACCAGTGATAACCTACAACCCCAACCTTTGTCCTTTAGGTGAATTCACACAGTGCTGTAAGCACTGAGGCACTCCCATCAGCAACTCTACTGGGTGCATGCAGCAAACCCCAATGACCCTGCCCCTGCTGCAGTGTGGGGGCAACTGTGCGCATGGACCAAGGGGAGTGGGGGCGGGGGAGGGTGTGTGCATGGGATCCTATTGGTTCTCAAGTGCCAGCCTTAAGCCCAGCTGAGTGGGTATCTAGATTCTGCAGGTTGTCAGATCCCTTAGGTGTTTCCTTTTTTCACTGGAGGCTTACTCAACAGAAATGTTGGGTTGAAACACACACACACACACACACACACACACCCCACTAATTTTGATGTGGGGGAGCCAAGGGGTGTTCAACCTTGAAACTTAACAGAAGTCTCAGAGACAAAGGCTTTGGAAGAAGGCTGTGTGTATTTATGACGTTTTACTTTTCCTGGAAAATTACTGCATTACCACTTGTGAGTTTATTTCTTCCAGCTAAGAAATATAATGAAAGAAGAGGGAACAACCAGCAGCGATGGGCGCTAGGATCCAGGGTACCACCAGGCAGCTGGAGTTCGGGCTCCAGCAGAGCGGGCTGCCTGGGGCGAGCGGACTTGCTGTGTGAGCAGAACACTGCAGTGAAGACGCTCCAGGCGGCTTCCAGGAAGCAGCCATGTGTGCTGACACGCATGTGGACCATGCAGTCTGGCTGGCCACCTTTCAACACTGGTGTTTCCTAGAGCTTTCCATTGGCAAATGCAGCCTCCTGGAACTGAGGGACAAAGGTTTTGAAATAAGCTCTGGTGGGAAAGAGGAGAGAAAAAAAATTGTGGTTAGCACAAACAACTTAGAAAAAAGTGCAACTCAGAGCTTTCAACCTAACTCAGAACAGTTGTTATTTATTGTAAGCATCTTGAGCTAGATTTTTTCTCTGCTGATGCAAAGCCCTCTAGGCTTTTCCAAGGGATGTACATGTAGTTCACCATGGTGCTATCTCTCCCAGATACTTAAAAGCTCTCTCCCAGATACCTGCCTGGCTGCCAACTCCTTCAAACAGTATACTTGGCTGCCTTTTCCTGAGACAAAGGCAGGGTCTGATCTGAGGTATAAGATAGAGTGACTGTGTTGGCTGATGCATCATTGCAGAGATGTGAAGTACCAGAATGTTGCATTTTCCCCACAACTGGACTTTTGATGATATGCACAAAAAGGACCTAGTGAGGATTCCCAAATGGTCCATAGCTATTTCCAAACACACATGTGGTCTGGTCCAGTGGAAAGAAAGCCAAGCTAGGTATTAAGAGAATCTTCCCCCAAAATGTGCCAGGCTCTGGGGAGGTGATACGGCTTTCTGGACATCCAGATTTCCATGCAGTGAAGCAAGGCCACGTTCCTATCAGGAGACTCACACATGCTGAGCCTCTCTGCCTGGCCAGGCTGTGTGATGAGGCTCTATGATGATCCAGATGTTCCTGCTGTGTGGGAGCCCTCGGTCTGAGGCGGCAGCAGGCCCAGAAATCCAGTAACACCAAGTCAGGTGGCAAGGGAGTCTCTGCAAGGTGCCCTCCTCCCCCAGCCAGACAACCAGATTCTTCCCGTCTGGGCCACAGTGCCTGCTGAGGCTCTTTCTTGGCTCTAGCTTCCATACAGCCTCTGCAACATTTTACTGTCAGCTCCTCTTTGGAAGCTCTCTTCCCCTGTAACTTCCTTGACACTAAACATCAGAGATCTCTGCTTCTCTCCCCACTCCTCCCCCCAGATGCTATCTTTCCTTGGGCTGGCCCCTCCCTGCTCTCCACTCCTCATGCAGAACAGGGTCTAGGTCACAGTTACTGGGTTATTTGAAGGCTTGCATCATACTTAGCAAAATACTCCTCAGTCCAGACTCCAGTCCACTCCCCTCCCAAACGTCCAGTCCCACATTCCTCACCACCTGCAGGACATTCTGACCTGGAAGTCACTCTGTAATTCTAACCAGCATATCCACATGATGTTTTCATCACTGTTAGGGATCTGAAAGTGATCTGGCCACTCGGTGCTTCTAACAGCCGTCAGAAGCCTTCTCAACCAGGTTCCATGGCTCCTAAGCCCCTGTGGTAGTTCATTCTCAAGATGCCCTGCCCCCATGTCTCTCCATTCTTGATAATGCCCTGCTCTGGTCTTGTTAGTTGCAATACAGCTACAGCAGAAAGGCGCTCCCCCTGTGCACGAGGCCCACCTCCCCTGTTGGTTGCAACTAGATGGATTCACTTAGAGGACAGTCTTTGTTGCCACCCAACCAAGACCTCAGGGCTCCCCAAACACCTGGCCTGGCTCTCCATAACACTCATGATCTGGCTCCTACTCATTAAAAAAAACAAACAAAAACTAGTTATCCTTTGTTTCCACTATGTTTTTTGAGGGCATTTACCCCTTTGAAAAGCTAAGAAACTGAAGATTCTTTTTTAACAAATGCAGGACACTCCCCCTCCTGGACATACCACATGTCACTGGGAGATCACAGACACCCTCAGTCACCCACGGGCCAGGATGGAAGCCCCATACTCGCATCCCCCAGTGACCCCGATGTGACCACTTGTTCTTCCTCAGTGTGCCATTTCCCATCTCTGGGCTCTGTTCACTTTCAGGCCAGACGCCTTGCTCCTTAGGTGTTCCCTGGCCACTGGAAGGTTCTCTCCTGCTTCTTCCAGGAAGAAGTGCAGTGTCCTCCCTGCCAGGCCACACTGCCTTGCCCTGGAAAGGAGGGGTGCATTCTCCTCAGTGTGACACCCACTGGGATCAGCATGCATTCTGCACAGGTTGTAGCTTTAACTGATGCAGCGCCTGACAGCCATGGGTTTGTAAGAGGCAGTTAGGGCATGCCCATGACAAGCTGCAGAAGGCAGAGACAGAAGGCAACAAATGTAATGCTCCTACACTGATGAAAAACTTTAGTCCTTTCTCCTCATAGCCAACAACATGTGAGGAAGATGGATAAGGCACCGCCTCCATCACTCCTGGTCACTGCAGCTGAGTCAGCCACAGTGTTACTTTTATCCCAGTCCCTGTGCTTGCCTAAGCAGGCGCTCAGTCCTCTGAGCTATCTCGCTGGACCTAAGATGCTACTTTCTATGACACTTAGGACCTCAGAGCCCTTGCCCATAAATACACCAGGCCACAATTGTTCTTAATGCACAAAGAAGGACTGATGTGGCAGAAGAAGCCCTAGACCTACAGTGAGGCCGGGGGGACCACAAGCAACCCTGGCTTTTTTTCTATGGAAAACAGAGGGTCATAAGGCCACCCTGATGTGATGCTGGGTAGGACAGTGTGCAGCGACTGCCAGCTGCAGCCCAGACTAGATGTCCTCATTCTTTACATGCTTCTGCTGCTCTCTGCAGGGGTCCAGATGTATAGCTGGAGGCAGCCTGGTGGCCCTTCTTAGAGAGTTCAGACTCTGCCGCCAGCCTCTCAGCCCTTTACCTGGCTGCCTCAGGTGTACTGTTGGGATGGGGACCATGGCTGGAGTACAGGCGAAGGCTGCAGCAGAGAGGCTGCAGCTACTCTGCACCACGAGAGCTGGCTGCGACCGCGCATCAGCCCTGGGCACTGGCTGGAGCTGCACAGCCATGAGCCAAAGGCAGCTCTCCAGCACCCTCCTGGCCGCAGTCTCAAGGGCTCCTTTATTTCCTCAGAAATTTCTGGGGGAAGGGGATGCAAGGTCCTCATACAAAAAGGTCTGGGCAAGAGGGAGTTTGCTTGAAAGGCAAGCGCTTTCCTTTTCAGAAAGTTCTAAAGTTTCCTGCGTGTTCTGGGCTTTCCCTGCCAGAGCAACTGCATGCCACTGGGGGAAGCGTGGCGAAGGCTATTTAAAGGCACGGTGCTACCAGCTGTGCGCAGTGAGCACTTGCTTCTCAACTTGTATCCTCATTAAGTCAGTGGAGTGGGGAGGAGGGGAGAGGGAAAATGACAACTGGCTCCCACCCATCTATAGATGTTTTTAAAGCGCTGTTTTCATTTATTTCAATTTTTATCAGAGAAAATGGAGAGTTGCCCAGAGTAAAGCTTGCTAATGGCACAAGTTATCTGTCATCTTAAAAAAAAAAAAAAAAACCCAAAAAAACCTTGACCCAGAGGCGAAGCTTTTGGAGTGTAAGCTGTGGGTGTGGGGGCTCTTTCCCTCCTTATTAACTAGCCAAGGGTTTCCAGCGAGCAAGTGAGTGAGCAAGACACCCACCCACCCCCCCACACACCCACACCCCACCCCCACACACATGGAGGGAGGGAGGGGCTGGAGTCAGCCAGGGCCTTCATGGGTCCCACATAGGATAGGAATCTATTTTTACACCAAATTATAACTCAGTAGGTCTTTGGACAAAATAAGGTTCTGACCCTCATCATTGATTTCAACCCCTTTGCTTAAGGTTTCAGAAAAATCACAACCAAGTTGGATTCGAGAGTCTCCTATAAGAGGTCAAAATGTAGAAAATGGACTCCCAGCTGTGAAGTGGTCAGTTCTGGCTGGATAGGGAACAGGAGGGGTGGCATCCAGGCTTCTGCTCACACACAGGGCACAGGAAGGTGAGCTGCAGTGTTTAGATCTACTTTTCTGGGCCTTGGGCCCGGGATTAATCTCTCTTGGCTGAGAGCCATGCCCAACAATCTCCAAGGCTGCAGGATGTGGAGGGCAGGTAGTGCAGAGCAGGCTTGGGGACCAGCTAGACCTGAGATCCAGGTTGGCAATTCCCCTGCCTAGCTGGCAGGATCCCTTGGGCAGGTGACTTCTGCTTTAGTCTCTTCATCTGTAAAGTGGGGCTAAGTCTGTCTATCTTAAAGTGTTCTTGTGAGGATTTAATGAGATGATACTAAGTACTTAAGATGAAGTATTTAGAAGGCTACCTGGCATAAGAGATGAGCAATGGATGACAAATGTTACTATGGGGACAAAGCTGGGCCTACAGGGCAGAGCGAGATCTGTAGAAACAGCCATGAGCATAAGTTACTGCAGAAGAGGGACACACTGTGTGGAGAGGGGTCCTGGGCCTTGCCCCAGTTGATCCCCTTTCCACTTATCACAATGAAATGGCAGCTGACTGCAGAGACAGCCACTCTCAGGGCTGGACACTTGGACAAAGCTTTTGGGCCACTGGACAGATTGTAAAATTCAGTTCTGAGCTGTTTCTGATGTAGTAGAGGCATCTAGGGGTGAACTCTGCAGCCAGGCCTTTGCTTGTCTTCTGCCCACACCTGCCTGGAAGGCTCCTTGTGTGTGGTTTTGGTTAAAGGTTTGGTCAGGGAGGAGGTCCCAGCTGTGCATTAGAGGGGTGTTTAAGAGTCACATGGGTTTGGCTGCTCAAGACAAGGGCATCGTTAGTTGGCCTGCTTCTCTGACAGACCTTTTTATTTTGCAAAAGCCTAAACAACTGGTTTCCTCCAAAACAGGACTTGAGTCCTGGAATTCAAAGATGCTTTTCTTTGGGCAGCTGGAAGATGAGACATATGGTGTCTGCTGAGGCCAGGCCAATGTGGTGATGGGGTGGGAGCAGTGGTTCGGGGACATGACCCTCACTGTCAGGAAATCAAGTACATATAAATCAAGCCAGAGGTCATTTTTGCAAATTGAGGCAAGTTTCAAGCATCTAAGTCTCACTGGTTTTACCAGTTTTATTCTGCAGCTGTGATTTCAACTGGCACATGTTTTTAATCAGTCATATGAAAACCAACTGAGGTCTAAAAATCAAAGCAACCCTGTAAATAGTGTCAGACAAGTCCCGCTAATCATGCCTCGTGGTTGTGCTTTGTCCTCTTTGTCCCGAACCTC